ATCAACAGGGTATATCATTGCTTGCAGTAGTCTGATTTTTATAGCATCTGAATATATATTTTCCAATATAAAGCTCATCATTTATATAAAAAAGATCTCTGCATGAAGAATTTAGTTTCATTGCCTATAAATATTATAGTTTTATTCATATTCTGAACTAGTTGCTAGAAAAAATGTTTTCCTTCTATTTGCTTTGATTCATCATTTCTATCTACTTTATATATTTATATTATATGTTTATAATTAAACTTAGTGACCATATTGTGTTACATTTAACAAATAATATATGATTCACATTTTGCAAAAATATCAGATCGTACAAAGGATTAATATTATAGGAAAACTGCAAAAATCTGATTATTCATTGTGCCTTGCTTTGCCCTAGCTCTACACTTCTGCATATAGTTTATTCTCAAAGGTATAACTCTCCTACATCCATCTGGAAATAGATCAGTATATCAGCATATGTGACTCTGTTTACTGAGTATATATTTGGACCCAAATTCTAATATTGTCAAAACCAGAAATGGATTCATGCAACCTTTTTTTTCTTATAAAATAGTTGTTTAATGTTTCATCTTGTAAAGAGAATCAAGATACTACACAGGGTTGCAAATACAGTGTGTACATTTGATTGTAGAACACCTCAATGGGCTCACCTGTTTTGCCATTCAAGTAACTGAGTGTGGTATGAACTTCTGCTATGGCTTTTGATTTTTTTTTCCCAACGTGAGGAATTGTCTTAGAAATAGAAAACTTTTACATATACATTAAATATATGCAGCAACGTATTAGAATTGACTTCCCTTGTATTACTTGAAAAAATATTCTTGATTAAAGCATATTTTTATTAATGCAAAATAATGTTGACACAGCACACTAAACTTGATCTGAGCTAAATGTTTCCTTGCCTTTCTTTGGTTTCATTACCTTCTTTATCTATTGAAGTAGCTCATCTTTTCCCTCAGGACCTGATTATTTTTTAAAGTGCTGTTTACCAATAACTATATTTACTTGCTGTTATATATCGTCTGTTAGAAATGCAGTTTAGTTAAATATTCCCCAGAGAACTTTGCTTATCTTACACACAGCTGTTGTTTGTAGATTTTATTTTTTTATGATCTTTTATATAAAGTATACTAAGCAAGTAGCGGTCCTGATCCATGTTTTATTACTCAAGCACTTAGGGATAATCCTTTTATCTGTGACCATATGAGCAAATGCTTTCCTATCTGTAATAGGTAAAACATCCAATTTAAACAGTTTTAGGGATCCTAGCTTGGTGATAGAGAAAAGATTTGTATCCCAAAATTTAAATATCTGGGATTTTCATATATTTTTTTAATGATCAGGGAAAAGGAGACAGAAAAAAAAAAAACAGTCCTTGTAACTTCAGAGCACAAACTGGTTTAAACTGAACTTTCTATGATTTTCTTTAAGATAGGAAGATTAATTTTTCTACCAGTCCTCCAAGCTCTACTTATTTTGAATTAAAGTATTCTGATACCAGAATGAATTTCTAATGATGGAATGAATGGAACTCACAGTTCTTCCATACACAAATTTGCCACTGGTTTCTTTAACCTTTCTTTATCTCCATAGTATAATTCAATACTAAATGTTATAGAGTCATTTCTTGCCATCACTGTCACCCAGTTAGGAATCAGATATTCTTGACAATTTATTTTAAAGTTGATTAATTGTTATTGTCAGAAAAATTGTCCTTACTTTAAGGTCAGATCTCTCTTTAACAAGCTTCCACTCATTATTTCTTGTATTGTCCTGTTTTAGAGAATAAGTCACTAAGTCAATCCCCTCTTCTATCAAGTTATCATGTCTCCTGTAATCTTTCTCTTCGATAAGCTAGACATATCTAGCTCCCTCAACCATTCATCATACAATTTAGTCTCCAAGACTCTTTAACATCTTTGTGGGTCTTCTCTGCACACTTTCTAGGCTCTCAATATCTTTTTTAATCATGGTGATCAGAACTTATACAGTATTCCAAACGTGACCTCATTAGTGCAGTATAAAGCAGCCTTATCACTTCTTGTGATCTTGATGTTATCTCTCTGTTGATGCAGCCAGGACTGATTGGCTTTTTTGCCAGTAAATTGGTGGTTCATATTTAAATGGTATTCCACTAGGACATCTAGCTGTCTCTCACAGTTATTACTGTTGAGTCAGGTACCACCTATTTTGTACCTATGAATTTGGTTTTTCCTGACTACAAAAAGGGCTTTACTTTTCTCATCACTGAACTGTATCTTGTTGGATGGACCCCAATCTTCAACTCCATCAAGGTCCTTCTGAATCCTGACTCTATCTTCTAAAGTGTTAGCAACTTCCCCCAGCCTGTAATGATCTGTAAATTTGCTGAGTTCCCCTTCTATCTCCTTGTCTAGATCATTTATGAAGATGTTGAAGAGTATTTGGTCCAAAACAGAACTTTAAGGTACCCTGCTGCATACTTCCCTCCATGTAGATACAGTTCTGTTAAGGACTACATGCTAGGTGTGGTTGGTCAGCCAATTGAGAATCCATATGGAGGTGATGCTGTCTATCCCACAGTTTTCTATCTTATCAATAAGTAGGCTGTGGCTTACTTTGTCAAACATCTTACTGAAGTCCACAGCATATCACTGGTCCACCAACTTAGTTGTTTTATCAAAAGAGGTAAGGTTTGTCTGGTGGGATCTGTTTTTAACAAACCCATGCTGGCTTCTAGTAATCATCTTATTCATTTCTAGGTGCTCACAAATCCTCCACTTGATTATCTTTTCAAGGATTTTCCAGGTATTGATGCCCAGCCAGGCTATAATTTCCTGAATCCACTTTTTCCCCTGTTGAAGAGCTCTTTTCCAGTCCTCTGGTAGTTCCACTGTGCTACAGGAGTGTTGAAAGATATTCAGTGATTCCAAGTCACTCAGATATAAAGTAATAGGATGCATTTTCTGCCTATTCTATGGCCATATGTTCTTTCACTTTGCCAAGGCACAGACACTACAGCTCTCTTGTTCTAATGTTCCAAAATACCTTCAGAACTTAACATTTAAGAGACCTGTAGAATTATGACCTTTTTCTTCTGTCCACAGTCTGATTAGAAAAGGATTCTAAGAGGAAATGGGCAAAGCAAGAGAAACCATAAAAATCATGTTTCAGATTTATACTTGCAGTTAAGCTGCTGAAATGCACCACCATAACTGAGTTTGGCTTATCCATGTATGGGCTTATAGAGAGTATATACATTAATAGATTTTTCAAATAGCCATATATCCCATTTATACTCATGTAGAAGCCCATTTTTGGATAAGCTGACTGTTGAATGTTTAATCAAAATACCATGAAAAATGTACATCAGCTTATTTGTGGCTAATACCTTTTCCATGGTATTTTTCTGTAAAAGTTGAGGGTCTTCTTATCTGAGGGAAGGCTTTTATGTACATATATATATAGTAATTTTACTGAAACTATAATTAGTAAAAAGAAAAAAATACCCCTCTCAATTTTATTATGAAAGTTAAATGTTACTGTAATCTTAGTGACTGTTTCAGGCAATAGATTCTAGGAACAGAAAATGGCAATGAAGTTTTGAAGAGGAGAGATATATTTGCTATAGGATGTCCATTGTGTTCCTAAGCAATCTGGCTGTTCTCCAATAATCTACCTGTGTTAAAAGTAAATTCAGTTGTCAGCCTAGACAATTTCTGAACATGAATGGGATAGGGCTATCTTTCTGCAGTCAACTGAAAATGGTGACAAATACTTCAGCAAATCAAATCATTGTCATCTAGTAGGAAGTAGAACTTCTATGGCTGAAATGAAATGAATCAATGGTATATAACCTTCTCCAGAAATTCTTTTCAGTGGGTGGTTAATGCAGGAGCAATATGTTCATTGAGATTTCTCTTAATTTAAATTAAGAGATGCCACAATGGCAATGGCACACTTTCAAGACATTATGATTATCAATGAAAAATCTGAATTACAGCAACATCTGGAAGACCGAACATTTTCCATTCTTGGACATTTAAAGATGCTCAGTGGAAACTACTTTTCAGTAGGCATGTTTTTAGCAATTCACTTGTACATAAAAGTATTTACATTTTAATGTTATCTCTTTTTTAATTGTGTGAATTGTTTATTGAAACAGTCCTTTAAATTCTATCATTGTATCTGAAGCTACAGCAAATTCAGTCTTATTTCATGTGGAATGTGAACCAATTCATAAATAAAATGGTGCTCAGGTGAGGAAAGAAATCAGAATTCTGCTGCCTGGCTAGACCCTGATGTATAAAGTCCAAATGACTCAAATATTGTTTTAACTAATTCTTAAATCTAACAATGAGAAGAAAAAGAAGATTATAAAGAAGACTCTAATTTTCCCCTGAAAATTATTTTTTTTTAAAAAAAAAGTGTAATAAACAATAAAAGAGTCAAATAGAAATAATAAGAAAAAGAGTCAAATAGAAATAATAAGAAAAAGAGTCACATAGAAATGATAAGACTGGGAGGAATTGTCAAAATTGGAACCTATTATTAAATTTGGTTAAGTGGAAGTATACTACCAGGGGACAAATAGAGGAGTTGGTTTTATTGGGGAGATGAATGAATTCTGAGCCTACCATGCAGCCACTGTGTTCAAAATCCTGTACCATTGGCAGAGACAACTTGGTGCCCTGCAGAAATTTTTAATTCCCACTAATTCAGCTCCAGTCTGTAAGACCAGTGTAAGATATTGGTGAGTCATAATATAAACCATGTGAAAAACGTTGCTTTTCCCTGTCATCCATAACAATAATGTACAGGACTCATTGGAATAGTTTGCTTCTCTGTTCACTTCTGATCCCCTCTATCTCACCTCCTTAGTTTCCATCACATACTAAACTTGTTGGGCTATAGGACGCCACAGACTAGACAGCTATTTCTGGGCCAGTTATAGGTTGGAAGTTTTCCGGACTAAGTTCATCACACACTTCCGGAAATTAAGCCCAGTAAAAAGGCCCGTTGTGTCTTTCAGGTCACCGTTTTCCTCTTCGTCTCTTTGCTACGGCGGAGCGCTTCAAGTTTCTCTGTGTTGAAAAGTTGAGATTCAGGTGGTGGGGGGAGGACTGTTATTTGCTCTCCAAGGGCGTCAGCCGGATGACCCAGGTCTGAGAGTTTCCCAGAGGAAGGTAAGGCGATCTTCCATAGACCAAGACGGCGATGGCCGTCCCTTTAGATAAACTTTCTCTAAGATAGCGTCCTCCATTATGGGTAGATTACGACTCTCAGAATTCCAAGCCATCAAGATGGTCTTCTCGAAAGAGACCCTATTCCACCCAGCAAATCAATGCCGCTTCGGGCGGTGACGGGAGGAGTGAGCCAGACGGGTGGCTGCTTAGCTTTCCGATCAATGGGCGGACGGCGCCAACCTGATCAAAGTGCGGTGTAACTGAGACGGCGGTGTTTGCTGGTTTCCGCCAAGGATCCGCCTTCTCGCCTCCCGCGATCAAAAATCTTAGCATCGCAGCTGTTGCGCAAATCTGTGCCAGATTTCTAGAAACCGAATGGCTGTCGAGCCCTGCCTTACCGGAAGAGCGAAGAGTTTTTGTTCATCCTATCGCCCCTACTTTGCTGACAAAAACTCTCCATATTACCTCAAGAACTTACAATGGAAATTTCCATTGAGGTCCTGGAGGCATAGTAGGAATATGGCCTCCCCCAACCCAACGGTGCTCTCTACATGCTTTTGACTTTAACAGGCGTCAATATGAGCCAATATGGCGCACAGTGCAATGGACGTTATAGTTCAGCCAAGCAATAAGCTTATCAATCATCAAGAAGATCTGATTGTCTTAATATGAGCACTGCCTTGCCCCCAGGTTCCCCTTCCTAGAAGTAGAGGGTTGCAATCTGATCCAAAAGATTGATTTCCTAATGCCATATCCATTTGTTTTCCAGTTGAGTCCAGTTTATTGTTTGTTTCCATTACTCTCAACCAACATACTCAACCTAGTTTCCATCAGATACTTTTTACCTTGCCCCAATCCAAGGAGTCCCTTGGCTGGTATACATCTGGAAGGAGAAACTGTGTAAGCAAAATTCTAATCATTATTATTTTACAAAATATTCCTCTGGATCTGTTCCACACACACAAAAAAGCATGTATGCTTTGGGTGTTTGGTAATTCATCAAATACAGGTTGTCCTAGACTTACCACAGTTGATTTAGTGACTGTTCAAAGTTACAACAACACTGAAAAATGTCATTTGTGACCATTTTTCACAGTTATGACCTTTGCAGCATTCACATGATCACGTGATCAAAATTCAGATGCTTGGCATCTGGTTTATATTTATGACCTTTGCTGTGTCCCAGGGTCATGTGATCATCTTTTGCAGCCTTCTGACAAGTAAAGTCAATGGGGAAGCCAGATTCACTTAACAACTGGGTTACTAACTTATCAACTGCATTGATTCACTTAACAACTGAGGCAAGAAAGGTCATAAAATGTGACAAAACTCACTTAACAAATATCTTATTTAACAACACAAATTTTTGATTCAATTGTGGTCGTAAGTCAAGGACTACCTGTCATCCACTATCAGCAGCCATTCATGGTGAACTAAAAGGACTAAATATTCATGAAATTATAAAACAGATTAAGAGCACCGATGCTAAGATTCTGTAGTACTCAAATCAAGATTTTAATAGGTTATTGTTTCAACTGAATCTATTTAAGATTACAGAGTGGCAGATATGTGTGGATTTGGATGTACATTCTTGTTAGTGAAAGTCAGGATTTAAAGCATTTCTTTTTTTAAAAAAATCACTCCAATTCTATCATATTTATGTAGATTGCATGCATACTCTGTGCAGTCTAATTCAATGCCTATTTTGTAAGAAGAGCATTTTGCTAAATTCAGTCACCGGGGCTTCAGAGTTATTCCCTGCTTGAATTTCATTGCCGGCACACAAACCAACGAGTTGGTTTTAAAGTCCCTGTAAAGCAGAAGAGAGTATCAAGGAAGTATAGCAGTGCTGTGGATGTGATTAAACAGCAGAAATTCTGCTTTTCCCCTTGTGGGAGATTTTCTGTTCTATCCCTCCACTGCCACCATTCAACACTTAACCTCCAGTGAGCACTCCTTCAAATGGCTTTGCTCCACTCCACAGAAAAATGTATGGTGCTCCCCTAATTGCGTCAGATCTGTGCAAACAAATGACAGCCTCTGAAGCACTTAACCAGACTATTTAAGGAGAAACTCTGAATGGCTTTGCTACATTCTGGAGAGCGTTCCTTGTCCTGGCTAGTCAGAAGATCTACCTGCACTTGATTTGAAGGTAAGATTGGAACATTTTGCTAAGACTCTTTTAATTGGGAAAAATAGAGCAGCAGAAAATGACCAAAATTTTTATACGGTTTATGCCATTTGAATTTCTCTCCATAGTTTTGCAAATGAAATCTTCTGCAATATTCAAAATTGAGGAAGACTGCTTAACAAGCATTTCTTAATCTTAACCAAATTGTACATAGTTCATTCATAATATTTACCCTGGGCAACAGTATTTGATCTTTGGGGAGGAGGCTATGAAATTGCTTGGTACATGTTAGGATAGGAAAGACTTTTTCATGAGCATTCTAAACTATACTGTCAGGGAACAATGGATTGCAACCAAATTTTTCAATGCAGTAAATCCTGTGTTCAAATACAAATCATCTTGCACCAAGAGTAATTGTTATTCTTTAGTCTCTAGATAAAGGAAGCCTTAATTATTTACAGTTTTTTAATTGCATCATTTGGATTTTTATCTATGTATTTCTATATTTGGATTGTGGTCCAAAAGAAGCATGATCATCATAAACTTTTAACTTCTAAGGTTTGGTTATGAGAAGTACAGAACAAAAAGTTGGCACTATATTACTTTTCTTTTATCTTAAAAGTCAATGCTGACCACAGAAAATGTATGTAATTATGACATATCATTATTAAGCTTGTGAAAGACTTAAAACTTAAAGACCTTTAAGTCACCATGATGTAAAAAAGATGTTGAGATTCTAGAAAGAGTACAGAGAAGAGCAACAAAGATGATCAGGGGACTGGAGGCTAAAACATATAAGGAATGGTTGCTGGAATTGGGTATGTCTAGTTTAACGAAGAGAAGGACTACAGGTGACATGATAGCAATGTTCCAATATCTCAGGGGTTGCCACAGAGAAGAGGGAGTCAAGCTATTCTCCAGAGCGGTTGAAGGCAGGACAAGAAGCAACAGATGAAAACTAACCAAAGAGAGAAGCAACCTAGAGCTAAGGAGAAATTTTCTCACAGTTAGAATAATTAATCAGTGGAACAACCTGTCTCCAGAAGCTGTGAATGCGCCAAGACTGGAAGTTTTTAAGAAGAGACTGGACGGCCATGTCTGAAATAGTATAGGGTTTCCTGCCTGAACAGAGGGTTGGACTAGATGACCTCCAAGGTCCCTTCCAACTTTATTATTATTATTATTATTATTATTATTATTATTATTATTATTTCAGCAAAACAAACTATTCTTCCACTAAAATAATTGATCTTATATACATTTAGCTGGAGATTGATCATATTTTGATACCTAGGAATTGTATGCTATATTGCAGTATATCCAAAAAATATATCAAGTTAAGAGCTAATATTCAAATTTCATTTATTTCTCTCACAAATTTAGAATAAGGTGAAATCATGATTATGGCACACCTTTTAAAGCCCAGCGATCACTTTTAATTACTGTTCCTTATTAAACATCTAATAAGCATTAAACCCTATAAAAGCTATATTTTTCATCTTGTGATTTTCATCTGCATTTTGGGATCTGTAATTGGAGCAGAGAATTCCATAAAAATTGAAAAACATTATGAAAAAAGAAGTGCAATGTTGTGTTGCTGCAAATTCCACTGCTGAACCATATGTGAATGTAATATATAATGTAATATTTATAAATTGGATGTACTGATAAAGAACAAGCATAAAAGTACTGGAATAAATATTTTAGTATATTTTAAAAGCACAATCTTTGCAAATCTGAATATTTGAATCTTTTCTTCTTATTCTTCTTTAGCTATGTATAGTGGGATTTGCATCTTCCTGTTCCTGGCTATGTTGTCCCTGAACTCCTTGGGACAGCAAACATCTGGATCCCACCATGCAATGACAAATCTCGACCAGAGCGTGTTAGAAAATCACCGACATGCCCGTATTCCAACCTCAGGAAAACCTGCCCAGCTGGCAGATGGCAGCATTGACCAAAAGGCCAACCTTGGAGCTCTGTTAGCCAAATATCTCCAGCAAGCCCGAAGAGGTATACCTTTGTCATTTTCTGCTCCAGGCATTCTTTGGTTTTAAAGAAATCCCCTTTCAAAATTCAATACATGAATAGATTCAAACTGAAGTTAGAGTGATCTCATTCTGTCAGAGCTGTGAAAGAGGAAAGGCCAGCATTATTGATCATTCCCACAAAATGTGGCCTTTCCAACACCTCTGGAAGACACTAGCTTGGGAACCTGGCAGAGACATTAAAGTTGTCTTTTATTAGCAATCAACACAGTTATCCCAAGCTGGCATCATCCAAAAGTGTTGAAACAACACAAATCAACATTCCAAGCCAACATGGGAATTCGCCTAGGTGAATCTTTCTTCAAATACATACAGGAATCACTGTTTCCCCAAAGCAGAAGGTTAGTAAAACTTCCTCTTCTCTTCCACATATCATCACATCTTTCTCAGTTTCATTCTCCCAATAATTATCCAGCAATATCACTGTAAATCCCTTTCAGCGGCTATAATAAAGAAATGAGAAGTTTATGTTCAGTAGTATATCTCCCCACACCAGAAGACACAGCAGTAAAAGAGATGATTGTCGATGCTGAAAGCCTTTAGAGCCATTTATGGAAGCTGATTGCAAGGCTAACTAAAGACTAGTGATGGGCCCATGTGAAACACATTAGGAAGCAGAATTGTTATCAAATCCCAATTGTTGAATGTTTTCTTTAGTCTTTCATTTTTTTTACAAATAGGAAGGAAGAAAAACAAGCATTAGCATCTGCTATAAGTGCTTATGACATTATATGCACCATAATATAATCATGCAAATGGCATGGATGATATAATTTGAATCAGAAATCATGATAGGATTGATGCATCAATCACAGTGTGATTGTTACCCCCATTTGAGTGAGATAATGAGACGTGGGTTGTTATCTTCTGTAGGCCTTCATGTTAGCAGAGAATAACTAGGGAAGAGTAAATTAGTTAATGACTTTGATGGCAAGAAGGAAAAAGGAAAGAAGGAAAAAAAGAAAGAAAAATTGCATTATGGAAGAAGAGCTGAAAGGAAATAACAGTCTGGGTAGCTCTTCACTCTGAAAAGTGTAATTTTAGGTGTTAATATGATTACATGAAAACAGCATGGTGAAACTCTGTGTGTTGTTTGCTTTCATCTAAATATTACATGCTGATTGAACATCAGTGGGACACACTTGTGGATCTTATTTCCACAGAGGCAACAGAATAAGCCTGTAACTTGCATAAGACTTTTTTGTCAAGAGAATTCTATGTCCCACCAATCCAGTTAAATGAACCTTGCAGTCTTTTCTGAATCATCAACTGGGTAACTTTGTTTAATTCATACAGCATCATCAATTACCTGGAGGAGAAATAAATACCACACGGGAGATCAAGATTTAGATTCAGACCAGTTATAATTTATACAGAGATATAAAGAAAATGAAAAACAGTAATAAAACTGGATGAAAATTCCTACCTAAAGGAATTTTTATTTTGATTTATCTATTTTATTGGACCAGAAAGCTTCCTGAAACACATAGTTCTCTGCTTCCATTTCTTGGCTTCTCTAGGTTTTTGAAGAAACTCAATGTAAATCAGAGGTTTCTAAGAATCAAAAGCTTAATCTTTATCCTGCCTCTCTGCATGGACTTCTCTCTAACTTTCTCTTTTACTATCACATATCTTTCTTACATAGTCAGTGTATGGTTAGTAGAGACTGGGGAAATATGCTTCTGAGACAATATACATCTCTCATTCATGAAGATATGGTTTGTGAGTCTGGGATGCAAGCTACATGATTTCAAGTAGTGCTGGGTTACTCATCTGTTTGCCCTAATCTTCATCATGATTGTCCATATATATCATCTGGTTTAAATATTTGTATAATTCTTATTATATTTAAATGTATGCCTGCTTGGGGTTAAGTTTTATGATTGTCTAAAACAATGTGTGTTCCACTGTTGATATTCACTCGAAATTTTTATTATCACCGTGACAAAATAATGACTTGTCATAAGATAAGAAAATAATTGGTACAATAATGAAAATGTCTCATATTAATGTCATAAGATGGGCAATCTTCCTTCACCCAATATTCTCCAGACAAGTTGGAACTTGAACTCCCATAATTCCAAGTCAACTTTATTAAATATATCTGAGAATTATAATTCTTCATTAATATAAAATATCTAGAGGACAATAAGTTAGGAAGCCTGAACTGTAATAGATTAGAATTTTCCATTAAAATCATTAAGGAGACTTGAGAAAATATGATCTTAGGATCTAAGTGGAATTCATAGCAAATTAGCTGAAATGTCTGAACTGATGTACATGCTTGTACTTGGGTTTTTAAAGGCCAGTTGGGTAAAAAGTGATAGTAAGGGAGACATTCTTCAGCCTTTTCTAAATTGTAGTTCTACACAGCTTTCAACTGCTAACAAAGATTATTTTGAACAGATAATTTTCTCTACAATCAATTGCTCCCCACAAAAATAAGTATATAGTTCTCCTGGAATAAAGATTATCAAGATCCCAGCTCATGCATTTGTATGTTTGATAGATTCCCCTCACTAGAAAAGTCCATCCAAGAATAAAGGAGCCAACTATATATAAAATGTAGTTTGATTGCAAATTCTTGATGAGGCTCACTTAAAGGATATCTTCCTTGGAGCAGGATAGCTCCCAGTTGGAGAGAGGATAAGGGTGGAAAAGCCACACATCCAAAACCCTAACTGAAAACAAACTGAATTGTTATTAATTGTGTTTAGTTGAATTTTCTTCCAAATAAATATCTTTCCAATTGCAGGTTAAATTACTCCCAGGTTCGTTAATGCATCTGTAGCTTCCAAGGTTGCTCCCCTGCACTCAGTCATTGTTATTCTCCTGACTTTAAAATTAGTGGTATAGGACAATAAATGTTAGCAGAAGTAAAAATGCAGGTTTCATATGATCTTGGCTGATAACGTCCACTATCACAGGATGTTGATTTTACAACATTTAATGTTATATAATTGGTTTAAGATATAAAATAATTCATAATATTAAAAATGAGTCTGTTTATTTGTATGTCACTATCCAATATTTAGGTTCTACTGGAAAAGTTTCTGTGATGGGGTTACAGAATTTTGACCCTACCCACAGGATAAGGGACAGAGACTACATGGGCTGGATGGATTTTGGACGTCGCAGTGCTGAAGAATATGAATACTCCTCTTAAAAATTGTCCAACTTTGTTTAAAAGAAATGAAATTCAAAATCCTTGTACAGAAATACGATTTTCTGTAAAAAAAAAATATGTTGGCATCCTTTACAAATTGATGTTTAAAATATCTGTATTTGATGTAAATTTGTCTGTAAAACTATACAATATATATTTTGCAAACATATGCAGAGTTTTCAAGAATGTGGATATATCAGAAGTATTTTATTCATTTCTTGATAATTTTATCATTGCAAATGTTGCTATCTCTTTCTTAAAAAATTGTTTGCAATTTAACACAAAAACCATTTGTTAATTTGAACTATTTATGTGTTAGAAAATATCAACCCAAGAGTCAGATTCAAATACATTCAAAAGTAGTATTATTGCAATCAGTGAGACTTTAAATTTTTCATGATCAACTGAATTGACTGCAATGAATCCTCTTTACATATGATTAAACTTTGATTTGATTCTATTTATTTAGATATTAACACTATAGAAAAGTCATTATACCAATACATTCAAAATTTGGTCAAATAATTTTCTAGGCATGTTATGGCCTCTGGTTATTTGATTTTGTGCAGTAAATGTGAAAATTCTGATACAATTATTCACACTAGAATAAACAGAACTTTCCTTGCTTTGTGGCTCTGTATTTGCTTTGCAGTGCAAAATTACACTTATGTCTTTCTCTCCTTCTGATCACATAATTAAGCATAAGGATATATTCCTATGACTAGAAGGGATTAGAACACTGTTTTAAATCTGAAAATGATATTACACTATTACATTTTTAAAGGTTTTTTTTCCAATTCTGCATTAACTTGAAGAAAAGGCAATATTTTATAACTATAAAACATATAGTTGAAGAGGGAGTGGATTGCCAACAGTAATGGGGAAATGTTGGAAAGTTAGTGACAATATTGGCAGTAGCCCTGGAAAAGTGCTGGGAAGATTACGGATGAGCTGCCAGGTTAGCATTATAAAGATCAGAGCCAGCCTATGGGAAGATATTGGAAAAATCAAGGGTGGTTCAAGTTCAAGGATGATAATTTTGGATCATTTGGTGCCTAATTTAAATAATATAGATCAGTGGTGGCGAACCTATGGCACAGGTGCCAGAGGCGGCACTCAGCGCCCTCTCTGTGGGCATCTGCGTCGTTGCCCCAGTCCTAAGCCTTTAGCTGGGTTTTATAAAACCTTTTCACTTTAGGCCTTTGCTGCCATGTGCAAAAAAAAAAAAAAAAAGGTTGAATCAGTCAATTTCAACTTCTCGCAGAAAAAAAAAGATCTTGCAAAGTTGGAACTGATTGATTGAACTGTTTAGTCCCACCCAGTCTGCCATTACCACCGCAGCCACGCCCACCCAATTGGCCATGCCCATCCAATTGGCCACACCCAGCCAATGGGCCCACTCACCCAGCACTCAATGATGCATAAGTGGGTTTTGGGTTGCAGTTTGGGCACTCAGTCTCTAAAAGGTTTGCCATCACTGACATAGACACTTATTTAAATTTAAATGTTATTTAAATTTCTCTCTCTCTCTCTCTCTCTCTCTCTCCCTCCCTATCCACCTATTTATCTACCTACCTGACAACTTACATCTATCTATCCTACCTGTCTACCTATCTCTCTCTCTCTCTCTCTCTCTCTCTCTCTCTCTCTCTTACCTACCTACCTACATCCATCCATCCATCCATCTATCTATCTATCTATCTATCTATCTATCTATCTATCTATCTATCTATCTATCATCTATCTATCTATCATCTCAGACCAAACATATCTTATGCACATTAAACAGAATTCTTCCATTTATTTATTGCTAAATATTATTTAGGAATAAATAAATAATAAATGATAGATTCATATGATCAACCAGAAGTGATATGAGAATGACAAAATAAAAAAAAGAAATATTTGAATATGAGGACAATAACTGAGTTATTTTGTGTGAGAGAGTATTGGCAAAGATAGTGAGCCTGGTCAAGAACCCTTTTTTCACTTTTTTCACTGATATCCAAATTATGAAGCAATTTCCAATCGTTGGTAGAGCTACAGTATCATAGAACTTCATAAAAGAATGAATTTCAAAAATTAGGAGACGCCTTCTTTTCGATGCTGCCATGGGAAGTTTAAGAATTATTATGAATATGCTCCAAATCACCCAAACATCTTCCAGAAGAGTCTGCCTATTCCTGCTATATACTGTAGAACAAAGTTGGTTTCCAGGTAAATGCAACCAAGTTACAGAGAAAGAGAAGCAGAAATCTACATATTCAGCTCATCTCAAAAACGCTTGTTTTCTTTTTAGTTCAGTTGTGTTCGTTCTTTTATGAATAAGGCTGCCTAGGCATTTCCTATGGTGCCCAGAACATGTATTGAAGGTACTGTCAGTTTTGAGAGGCAGTGCAGTCCAGACCAGAATCACGCCCAGCAGTATTAGCTCTATCTCTTTTGTAAGGTTACATTAACACGTTTCTGCAAGTCTGTTCCTTACTTTTATACTCCCCAAAACTAGGCAGGATCCCTTCTGAAATGCTTTCATCACCCCTCCTTTGTCATCTTAAATTTTGTTTTATCAGAGTGCTGCCTGGGCTGTCAATCTTCTTCCTGTCTCTCAAGGTCATTCCTACATATTATTAGAGATATATTGAACAAAGCAGCATTTTAGATCACGGTAAGTGAGTGTAAGTAAAAGATAGATCTCTGAATTTCCAAGCTTATTGATAGTATTGTGTAGTGCACAATAGACATTTACAATGGATTTTTGAAAGCAAAGGTTAAATAGATAGGAGAATTTTAATCTATTAAAATTCAGGGCATTATCAACATGTTATTTATTGCATTTTTTAAGACAATTCTTAACCATGTTGAGCCATTAGGGATAAGGCTCAGGCTAAATCACCACCATTATCATCAGTATAGTTCTTTCTCAATTGCTTGTTTCTATCAGATGCACCCACACAATTCCAAAGTCTGTCTCACCTCTCATTGCTGGTCTTTCATTAATTAACTAAACATTTTGATTATGCTGTACCCACAGCCAAAATGGAACTTGAGGCAGGACATGGACTCAAAACAACACAACTGAGCTTTAATATCAATTAGCATGTAAGAATCTATAACTCCCTATCCAGATAAAAGCTACCTGTGTCCACTGCAGTTTCTATGTCATCTCAGAAGCATATATGGAGAGAGAAAAAAAACTGTGATGGAACTATATTTCTCTATGACGGGAGAATTTTAATTTATGGTAGCTTAATCTTCCACAATTCAACAAGAGCATCATGATTTACTCATAAAGGACTGCAAAGCACAATAAAAGTTTTTTTATAAGTCATTTCACACTCTCCTTACCTGTAGGAAAATATGATGAATTTTCTTTTACATGAATGAGGCAATACTTGATGTAGTGATAGTCATTGTGACCTGTTACATATATTTGCCTACACATACCTAACCTTGCGATTTCCAGATGTGGGCCCTGATTTTCATAATCCCTTAGTTCAGTGATGGCGAACCTTTTAGAGACTGAGTGCCCAAACTGCAACCAAAACCCACTTATATATTGTCGAGTGCCAGGTGGCTGTGTATGGCCCATTGGGTGGGCGTGGATGCGGTGGTAACGGCAGACTGGATTGAACTAAAAAGTTCAATCAATCAATTCCAACTTTGCAAGATCTTTCTTTTTCCCTCGAGAAGTTGAAATTGACTGATTGAGCCTCTTTTTTTTCTTTTTTCTTTTGCACACAGCAGCGGAGGCCTAAAGCAAAAAGGTTTTATAAAACCCAGCTGAAGGCCTAGGACTGGGGTGACAGCGCGCATGCCCATAGAGAGGGCTCTGTGTGCCGCCTCTGGCACCCGTGCCATAGGTTCGCCACCACTGCCTTAGTTTATAACCAGAGAGCAATTATATATGGAAAGGTGAACCATATACACTTGCTTCTTTACATAAAATTGGCTTTTTAATTATCTGTGACAATTTTTGAAAAGAGTTTCTTCCAAATGGCTAATTAATTCTCTTGATCACTCTGCCCCGATCTCTTCTACAAAACCTGGTTTCCTCTAATCAAATCTGACATTAGAAGCACACCTAGATGGCTTGGGAAAGGGGAAGATTTAAAGACAGGAAAATGATCTCCAGGACTTGAGCTGTCCTCTTTTTTTTTCATTTAAAAATGTACAACTCTCCCCCAATATATTCATAATTAGGAAAATGGATACTTCAGAAAATGGATCTATTGCTATCTGTGGCAAACTGATCCCTGCAAAAGCAAACTTTAAGTACAGGCAAGTCAGGAGATTGGTGTTTTTGTTGTTGTTGTTGTTGTTTAAATAATGTTTTAGAAAATATATGCAAATACCATGATGTTTCTATATATACATCTACCTACATAAAAACTACAAAGATCAGTATAGGGCAAGCAATAATATTCCCTCAGATACCCTAAGAAAGCAAAAGCTGGACTTTGAAGAAGCAGAATAAGGAGAGCATTGAAACTTTTAAACATTGGTATTGGAGAAAACTCCAGAGAATATCATGGGCAGCAAAAGAAAACAATTATCTGTGATGAATGCACCGAGGAAGATCTGAAAGACCAGGTTAGGAACAGATCATCATGGAGAAAATCTATTTACATGTTCACTAAGAGTCGAAAAAAACTTTCTGCCATATAATCAATCAATGGTCTTCTTAGGCTTAGATTATGGTTTATGGCAGTGGTGGCGAACCTATGGCACGCGTGCCAGAGCTGGCACTCAGAGCCCTCTCTGTGGGCACATGCACCGTTGCCCCAGCAGAGTTCGTCAGAGTAGCGAGCACGTGGCATTTGGAAGTGACAGGGCAGGAAGTGAGCGAGCAAGTGACGTTCACCCCCCGGGGATGCCCCAGAGATGGCGAGGGACTGGCCCCCACCGGCCTGGCCCCGGCCACGCTCACCCAGTCTGCTGTGACCATTGCAGCCATGCCCACCCAGTGGGCCACGCCACCACGTCCTCCCTGAGGACACCACAATGCTGATGCAGCCCTGGCACTTTGCAATAAATAAGTGGGTTTGGGGTTGCAGTTTGGGCACTCGGTCTCTAAAAGGTTCGCCATCACTGGTTTATGGTGTAACCTAGTTTAAAGATTAATCTCTCCCAATTTTTGGTTTTAAAGCAGGGGTATCAAACTGCCGGCCCATGGGTCAGATGTGTCCTACCAAAACTGTCCATTCCATTGCTGGCAATGGAAAAAAAGTCACGATACATCGCAATACATCATGTGATGTTTCAAGTTTGACACCCATTTTAAAGTATTGAATAGCATAGGTTTTCAGCTATAAAGACAAGCTACTGAATGATTGTTGCTAGCCAGATTTTTTGTTTATTTCCAAATCAGTCAATGTTCTTTAAAGTGAATAATGAACATGCCAAGTTGATGAAAGGGTTTCGCACTAACTCATTGAGAGCTTAAGTTACTTTCTGAAATATGCTTCAAAAATAATTAACAGAGTAGCATATAGCTGCTTCCTGAATAATTAACACAAAACTTTACAGAAGTTGTGGTAAACAATTGGGGCTACTATTAAATAATGTTGCTTGTGTAGGTTGACCTTGATTATTTCAGCTGAACTCATTAAAAAAACAGTTTTGTTAG